TCACACGACGAGCTGCGCGGCAGACTGGGTAGATGCCTCCTCCTCTTCGACCTTCTTCAAGACCTTGGCGGTGGGCTGCGAACTGCTTGACGGGAACACGCAGATGCCCGTGATGCCCAGGTGCGCGCAGGTGGCGCCGGACGGGCAGCTGCTGGACAAGAAGCAGGTGAGCGCGCAGTACATCTTGCCAGAGCCCGAGTCCTGCAGGATGCACTTGGGGCTGGCCTTCGTGCCCGCGGGCACGTCCGTCGGGCACGCCATGCCGTCGCAGGGCGGTGCGCAGAGGTCCCCGCCCGCGCCCTGCACGCTGGCCTCCACCTCGTCCGGCAGGCACGGCGGCTTGTCGTAGTGCACGCCGCCTGGCGCGGGCGGGGCGGGCGGCGCGGGCGGCGCTGGGCCCGGGGGCGCCGGCGCAGGGGGCACCCCGCCCTTCACCACCGGGAAGGAGGGCGGCCCGCTCAGGATGCCGCACTCGCCTGCGCCCGCCTTGCCACGCAGCATCAGCACGTAGCCCTCCATGCCCCACTGCGGGCCCCAACTGTTCTTCACCTTCCAGTAGTCGACGCCATTCTCGTCTGTGCCGTAGCCCACGGCCAGCACGCCGTGGTCGAGGTTGGAGCCGCAGGTGCCCTTGAGCACGCCGCTCTGGTAGAGCTGGAAGGCCGACTTGTCCGCCTCGATCGCCACCGACACGGGCTGTTTCGAGACGGCCTCCATCAGCGCCTCCTCGCTGTCCGTCTGGACGTCCTTGAAGCCCATCACGGCGCCCTTGGGGACGCCAACCGTGCAGGAGCTCGCCTCGCACGTGCCCTTCCGGCCCTTGTACTCGTAGCTGTCCTCGGTGCACATGCTGTTCTTCTCCGCATACGCGAATCCGCGGTCCATGAGCCCCCCACCGCAGCCAGAGTCGCCCTTGTCGCAGTCGACCAGCTGCTGCTCGCTGAGGGAGACCAGCTTGCCTTCTGCGATCTTCCAGGCGCCCTCGATGGATCCGGTGGTTGAGAACGCCCAACACGAGCCACACTGTCCCTGGTTCTTCACCTGGGGGCTAGATGCATTCAGGAACAACCGAACTGGAGTTAGAACCTGGATATACTTCTGACAACCAAGATATTCGTAGTAGCAACTTCCAAGACATCAGAATATCAATGAAGATCAGGATGAGGAAGCACCCTCCTTCTCCTCCTCCTCCTCTTCCACAACCTCCTCCTTTTCCTCCTCCTCCTCCTCCTCCTCCTCCTCTTCCTCCTCCTCCGCCTCCTCCTCCGCCTCCTCCTTTTCCTCCTCCTCCACCTGCTCCTTTGCATCTTCCTCCTCCCCCTTTTCCTCCTCCTCCTCCTCCTCCTCCTCCTCCTCCTCCTCCTCTTCCTCCTCCTCCTCCTCATCATCCTCCTCCCCCCTTTTCCTCCTCCTCCTCCTCCTCCTCCTCCTCCGCCTCCTCCTCCCCCTCCTCCTCAATCTCCTCCTCCTCCTCCTCCTCCTCCTCCTCCTCCTCCTCCCCCCCTCCTCCTCTCCCACCTCTTCCTCCTCCTCCTCTTCCTTCTCCTCCTCCTCCTCTCCTCCCTCCTCCTCCTCCTCCTCCATCCTCCTCCTCATCCCTCATCCTAAGCTTCCTCCTCCTCCTCCTCCTCCTCCTCCTCTTCATCATCGTCATCATCATCATCATCACCACCACCACCACCATCATCATCATCATCATCATCATCATCATCATCATCATCATCATCATCATCATCATCATCATCATCATCATCATCCACCCGGCTTTTCGTCCGTGAACCGAGGTGGCTACAGTTCACATACGCACCTCTGCTCTACAACTCACTGCATCATGTCAACCACCTTTATCTCTATCTATCTGTCCCCCTCTCTTTCATATTATGAAAACAATCCGAGTCCACTTTCACCGTTATGTATCCCATCCATACTATGTAGCTGAAGCGTGGTGTTCACGGACCTTTGGATATCCAGAGAATCATACCAAATTTAATCATCACGAATAACCCATCCCCTTCCCGCTGTAGAATAAGAACTCCCAGGGTAATAGCACAACATCCTTCAGCTCTAGCGTTTCGCCAACGTCGTTGGAAGCTGTAGCACCGGTATTGTACCGTAGACATCGATCGGTATACGTACCTGGGCGTCGTGCTCCGCGCCGAGGTCGGCTACTTCTTTCTTCCAAATCAACTCTGTTTAAGTTGTCAGCAAACAAATACAAGTAGGCGATGGCATCTTCTTGGTGATCTGGTCCGCTAGCCTGGCCGTGGCCTGAAGATGCCTGGGATGCCGAATCCTCCTTGCCACTCGATCTTCTTGTAGAGCTAGAATGCCAACCCAATGGTGCTCGTCACTGGGCAATGACATAGGGAAGCAAATAAGCTCGAAGAGGTCCATCGCATCCGTACAGGTGTCAAGTGGCATCAGGCGTTGAGACCGCATGTATACTTCTAGTAGGTATCGCGCTCTCGCCACTGTTCCCACAACAACAACAAAACCAGCACAAAAAGCTGAAAAGACTCCAACTCTATAATTCTCGATGTTGCAATGTGTGCCATGGCCGCGCAGAATACTGTTGGATTCGTCTTTGTGTGTGGCCAAGAACATGTATGTGGCCAGCGGGCACGCCACGCCCCCGAAAACCTTCGCTTCTTCTCCGTAGCTGAAATGCGATAAATTCGGTTCTTGATTCGCAAGCGCCTGCTTGAGAACACCATTATGCTGCTTTGCGCGAATGCCCATGGGGTTGGTCAACCCTAGCATACTCATCGAAAAAGATATGACAGAAAAATGGTCCTCATCGCATAGCGCGGCCGCGCCCGCTGTCTTCTCAAGGAGAGTCATGAGCTCGAGGCAATTCAAACATGGTTTCCGACGCAGGCGGAGGTGTCCGGGGCCGAGCTTTTCACGAACAAGTCCACGCTATGTGAAGGGTTCGGCACGTTGCTTCAGTTAAGCTTGCATTCCACTTGCTGCTGCAGCCGAGAGATCTAATTCTTCGTTGCCACACCCAAATATTATGAACGCTCAGAGGAATTACGCATGCAGAGAAGATCCCTCGTCGTCTCTAGATATGTAATGAGCAGTTGACATCGTGCAAAAACTTGCACAAATGCACCTCGCTAAGAAGACATTGCAATTGCGGCATCTGAAACAGAATCGGTCTATCCAATTTCTCGACGTCAACGACTGTCGCGAAACCCACCATCTGGAGATGTCGCCACACTCTCGCAGAAGGCTGTAGCCACACTGTACGGACGCGCTTACATGCATGACAAAGTCATCTGGATCGTAATGTGATCTCTTGGAAACGCAACCCCTGCAACGACGCGGTCGAGACGTCGATGGCCTCGCAGGCCTCGAGCTCCAAGTCAAAGCCAATCTGTGAAAGCGCTGAAGCTGTAGATGAATGTTACTGTACCCCTGTACATCAAGCGCCCATGAACCCTCGCCCGCACATTCGTGACTCGACCACGCGTGGACGTCGCGTCTTACGTGTTCACGCCCATGCCGCGTCGGATTCTGGATGCGGCAGCGTCTCGTCTAACGATTCAGGCGCGCGCCCGATGGTCTCGTCAAATGACCCAGGTAGATACTCGAGCGTCGCGTCCAACGACCCAGGTGGATAGTCCACGTGGCATCTGCTGCTGGGTCTGAAGCCGCCATGGCTTCCGGTGCTCCTGCAGCTGCAGCTGGATCCTGATCCCGCGCTGCTTGCCGACGTCGTTGGGGCAATTGGTACTGGCCCCGTTGTTCCTGATGAGGCTGGCGAAATCGGCGATGGCCCAGTCCTCGCCCCCCTGCCATCTCGGCCTTGACGTTGCACCAGAGGCGCCGGGAAGGGATGTTCCAATGGTAGAGTTGGTCTTCGTTCAGCAGGCTCTCCATTAAGTCGGTCAGATTCCAAACCTGGTGATTCAGGACCCAAAAGATTAAGCTCACGCGTCGCGTTGATCTTCACCGCCTTGATCTCCACTTTCGTCCGCGATCGGTCGCTGGATGCGCTTCCCGGCGAACGCGGCTTCATTCTCGACGGCGGCGTAGCTATCTTGGCCCGCAGAAGCGGCGCCAGCTGCCTGAACTCTGAGGCGGCGCTGGCCGCGCGAAAGCAGTTGGCCTGTCTCTAATTCTAGATCTCGACCGATGCGAAGATGCTGAACGGGATAATGCAGATGTCTCCGCGGGAGGCGTCGCGGTCGCTCACTTGGCCACTGGTGTCTCCGAGATCGCCATCTTGGCAGGCAGCGGACTTGGAATTTCTGGAACTTCTGGCGGTCGCCAATGCGGTATTGATCTTGGTCTATCTAGGGCAGGAGCTGTCGGAGCCTCGACACTTCGCTGCTCCCCGTGATGGAGGATCATCAGGAGGCCGAGAGGTACCTCCGAAATACCAAGTAGTGCTTCGAGTGGCGATGCGGAAATCCGTGATCTTGACCCAATCCATGTCGGGTGCTGCTGGCGCATGAACCTTCGCCACTGGCGCCGGCCGAGGTGCTGGAGGCGGAGCAGACGGTGGCATAGGCGCTCGCTGCTCCATGCTCTGATCTGGGCTGCACGTCAGCGACGGTGATGTCAGCGTCGCGTCGTCAGGCATGGCAGGTGGTGATGCATGCTGCGGCTGCGGCTGTGTTGAACGCTATCCTGGCGGTGGCTGTCGCGGTGAACTCGAGATGTAGATCGCGCCGTCGTCGTTATAGAAACGCGCAGGAGTCCAGGGCATCATGGACGGGCCCCACGTTGGGCTCCGACCTGGATAGGCCCAACCATTCCGGATATACCCAGGTGCATTAACTGGTATACCACCTGAAGTCACTTGTCGGAACGACTGCCTCTTGATGCCAATGATGTATTGCCCCCAGGTCTACTGCGCGACCGCATGCTGACCCCGCAGCTGCAGCGCCAAATGCACGAGGCGCCCGCAGCCCGCATTGGTCAAGGGCTCGGCGCGCCGCGCACAATAGCCAGACTGAACTCCACCGATGCTCGGATTAAGTAGATCTCGAGCTGCTTGACGAGCGTCTACCAAGATAGGAGGAGCACGCTCCTACTCGTCCTCAGGAACGTCAGTGCACTGATGGGCCTGCCGATCCCACTGCCTGCCGTCGGTATATACCTGGCCCAAAACATGGTCTTTGACCTGATCCAGAAGTACAGGTATCAGCTGCTTGTTAATGTTGCTCGTCGTCGCGCTCATCTAGGCCCGGCACGCGCACCCATTGTAAGGTCGTATCTGTCGTAACGGAACTAGCAGTGAATGGCATCTCCGCATGGCGATGCACTCATTTTCCATGCTCATGCACTTGGCCATCTCTGCCTGGCCGCGCCATCCACTTTGATCCTTAGAAGACGGCTCTTCTCACCACGAATCCACATTGACCGCCGTCTCATCGATCTGCTCTGGCGTTTCTGGCAAGCGCTGCTGAGGTCCAGCGATGGCTGCCTTGGCAATGCGACGCTCGATGACCACCTGTGCGATGGGCAGCGCGAAGCCTCAGAAGACTCTGAAATTCGATTGAGGCTGGGCCCCCGAAATGCGCGTCGCCGGTCGCCGCGATCGCCCCGCTGTCGCGGCGGTAGAAGTCGCGCGGCCCGCGGCACAAGAAGCGCTCAGTTCGGCGCCGAGCTCCCGTGGACCAGGGCCGAGCTGCAACACGGGCAGGCCTCGACGATGCAATCGTCTTGGCTCTTGTGGACGCCTTGCTTCTGCACCTGCGAATAAAGCTTGAGAACTGCAAATGTGACCCGTCCAAGACGGCGTTCTGCTAGGCCTGTCTGGGCGCGTCCTTCGGATTCCTGGAGGCCTCGCTCGATGTCGCACACCTCGCACGCCACGCACATGAAGTCGCCAATCAAAGCGCCCTCTTGCTCGGAAACAAGGACCCCGGGAGGTCCGAACTTGCGCCCCCGGCATCGCAAAAAATCTCGACGCCAACCATCGGAGCCCATCGTGACGAGGCGGTCGCAGCATGCCCACTGCACTGCCACGCCTACGAAGATAACGCACATACGGCGCCACAGCGTGAAGATGTCCGTCTGCAGCCGAT